AATGAAAAAAAAAGAAGAAAAATGAAGAGAAAGAATGGTATAAAATAAAAAAGTGAAATTAGAAGTCGAAGAAGATGAAAGAATAAAAATAGAAAGTTGAGAATATAAAATGAAAGAAGATAAAAAAGAATATTTCAAAAAGAGATAATAAATGATGAAAAGAATGATGAAATAAATGATGCATTTTTTTTATTATAGAAATTAGAAATATGCAATAAAAAAGCGTTTAATTTATTGATGCAAATTATTTAACATTATTTTATTTATGCAAATTATTTTATTCTTTTTTATTTTTATAATTTTTATTTAGATGCATTATTTCTTTCTTTATTTTGGTTCCCAAATAACACAAATAAAGAAGAAATAGAATGATAGAATAAATTAAATAACATACAAACAATAAATGTGAATAAATGTATTAAAATTAACTCAATTAATTTTATTGTAATAACTTTTTCTTCTGTTTATTAGTCATCTCTTTTATTATTGAAATTTCATATTCTAATCTTTATTAAAACATTTTCTTGGAATTCTTTTATTTTGTGATAATTCTTCAACATATCCACATCCATAGAAACATGACTCCCCAAATGATGTAATTGATGAAGGTATATTAATTGATTTTAATGACATACAATAAACAAAACATCTATTTCCTATTTTACTAACAGATGAAGGTATATTAATTGATGTTAATAATGAACATTCATAAAAACAATCATCTCCTATTTTACTAACAGATGAAGGTATATTAATTGATGTTAATGAATAACATCCATAAAAACAATTATTTCCAAATGAAGTAATAGATGAAGGTATATTAATTGATTTTAATGATGAACATCCATAAAAACAATAATCTCCTAATTTAATAATTGATATTGGTATATTAATTGATTTTAGTGATTTACATTCATAAAAACAATTATTTTTTATTTCACTAATAGATAAAGATATATTAATTGATTTTAATGATGAACATCTAGAAAAACAATCATCTCCTATTTTACTAATAGATGAAGGTATATTAATTGATGTTAATAATGAACATTTATAAAAACAACCATCTCCTATTTCACTAACAGATGAAGGTATATTAATTGATGTTAATGATGAACATTCATAAAAACAATTATTTCCAAATGAAGTAATAGATGAAGGTATATTAATTGATGTTAATGATATACAATAAATAAAACAATCATCTCCTATTTTACTAATAGATGAAGGTATATTAATTGATGTTAATAATGAACATTCATAAAAACAACCATCTCCTATTTCACTAACAGATGAAGGTATATTAATTGATTTTAATGAATAACATCCATAAAAACAATTATTTTTTATTTTACTAACAGATGAAGGTATATTAATTGATGTTAATGATGAACATTCATAAAAACAACCATCTCCTATTTTACTAACAGATGAAGGTATATTAATTGATGTTAATGAATAACATTCATAAAAACAACCATCTCCTATTTCACGAACACTTGTTGGTATATTAATTGATTTTAATGATGAACATTTATCAAAACAATAATTTCCTATTTTACTAATAGATGAAGGTATATTAATTAATATTAATAAACATCTAGAAAAACAATAAATTCCTATTTCACTAACAGATGAAGGTATATTAATTGATGTTAATAATGAACATTCATAAAAACAATAATTTCCTATTTTACTAATAGATGAAGGTATATTAATTGATTTTAGTGATTTACATTCATAAAAACAATTATTTTTTATTTCATTAATAGATGAAGGTATATTAATTGATGTTAATGATGAACATTTATAAAAACAATTATTTCCAAATGAAGTAATAGATGAAGGTATATTAATTGATTTTAATGATGAACATTCATAAAAACAATAATTTCCTATTTTACTAACAGATGAAGGTATATTAATTGATTTTAGTGATTTACATTCATAAAAACAATCATCTCCTATTTCATTAATAGATGAAGGTATATTAATTGATTTTAATAAACATCTTTTAAAACATCCATATCCTATTTCATTAATAGATGAAGGTATATTAATTGATTTTAATGATGAACATCCATAAAAACAATAATCTCCTAATTTAATAATTGATATTGGTA